TTTTTTTCAGCGAATTAAGAGATCTACTGGTTAATGGCTGTGAAGTATAACTCGTTAATTCTTTCTCTTCCCCACCTACACATAATGAAACACTGACATTTGATTTCTTGAAAGTATGTCCTTTCTCTAACCCTGCTCCTGTCTCATTTTCTCTCTTTCCCAGAGGTTTTAGCCTTGTGAGCTGCTGTAATGTCTATCAGTGTAAGTCACACTGAAAGACCAAGGCTCTGATAGCTAATGTCAATAACAGAAAATGAAGAGAAACATGAGAGATGAAGAAAAATTATATAGATCCCATTGCCTGAGTGGAGGGGAGTCACTAACCTCAAGGCTGCCATCTCCAAAGGATTTTTTTCAGGTTAGCTGCTTAGCTCTATTTTTCATAGGGTTTTTTTTGGTAGTTTCAGTGAAGATGCTGGCTGTATTTTTTAAAGGAAAATAAGATATGTGACTAAATATTACATACAAACAAAGCAAAATGCACTTGCTGAGTTGGGAGGGTGAGGAGCATATCAACACTACACTCAACCTTCTTCCCCCTTCCCATTCAAACAGCCCAAATTAAATGCAGCCTCAAGTTGCCATGTCCAAGCCAGAGTGCTGACATTCCTGATTTCCACTGTTTGTAATTACCTCTGTTTCAGGCTGGATTTGTCTAAGGATTTGTCAATGATTAATAAGTTCTTATTCATCAGTTAGATGAAGACAGGGAGAGGACATTTATATCTCTTGCTTATGGTAAAAATCACTGTGAGTTATATGGCAAAATTAGAAAGGCAAGTGTAAACCTGTTTTAAGCTAGGAGTAATGATTTACTTAGGCAGGGAATAATAGCTGAGCATTGACAACAGTGGGGGGATGCTAATATGTTGATGCTTTACTAATGGCTTCAAGGTGAGGAATGTCCATTTGTCTGTCTGTAAAATCAGGGGGTGCTTTCCACCTTGGGATTAAATGGCCATTTAAATTAGCAGGACTATGAATGCTGCTGCTGCACTTTGTGTTCCTATCTTGATGTCTGGAAAGCTTCAAGTACAACTGGCACAGACACTCATAAGATCAAGGTCAGACTGTCTGCATAATAAATGATAGGGAGTATTAATTCACCCACAGACGTGGCAAAAAAGATGAATAATCTTTGTGCAGTTTATCTATACATCTGGGTATTTGGAAGACTTAATTAATTACAATACAGTGAATCCTGCATCAAGTGTTCCTCTCAAAGCTCTGCAAGCAACAGTTCAACACTACATTTTGCCTCTGTGCTATATCCCTTCACCAAGGGGTTATAAATTGTAGTTTTCAGCTTTCTGGCTCATGCAAAAAAAGAGATGATTTTACTTAAATGGGAGTAAAAAATAGTCCAGTCCATTTTAGTTTTCACTACCTCTGAAGTTAGTTTCTGTAGGCTGATGGTTAAAATCTGGCACAGTGTAAGGTCTTTTTGCATAACCTGAGATTGAAAACAGGGTTAATATGCTGGTTTTGAACAGCTCAGTGTTGGCAGAATATTTCTGTTCAAGATGAAATGCATTTTACCTATTTGTTTCAATGCAAAGTGTTAGGCCCATGGGACAAATTCTTGAATATCTACTACTGACTGTATCAGGAATGTTTCTAAAAGCTTCCCCACCAGTCTAGTATTTAGATTAACTTGTCATTCTAAGGCTTTCACATTTGGACAGAGTTCCCATTTATTCATCATGACAGAGCTAGACAAAGAGCATACAAATTACTTCTCAAATATTTTTCTTCAATAACAAGCAGATTTGGACCTCAGACTGCACTGATATTAATGACTTGCATGTGCCCTCACTAAAAATGCTGATGTAAATGTAAGTTTAATGACATTAGTGTTTGGCATTGATTGGAAATTTAACTTTGAGAAGACAAAGTCTGTCTTACAAGATATTAAATGTAGGCTAAGATATCTTCAAGTCAGGCCAGGCTTCTGTAAAAATTTCTGGATTACTGTTGCTGAAATAATGACAGTGAAATATTTGCTATCAGCCTGAAGGACAACAAGTAACTGTTGATGTGATCTAGAATGGATTTTACTTCGGAATGGAATAGCCTGTAAATGGATGTTTGCATTCAAACTCACTGATGTTAACAACAAAACCTCACGTGGGGCTTAGTGTAATCACTTAAGATTAGAAAAAGAAGATAAATCTAACAACTTGTTTGCTGTTTCCTGTTGAACTTTTGAACAACAGAAAGCTTTTGATGCATGATATATACCCAGTTTTCAAAAATAGCCAGCTTTTTGGAAGAGATTCAGGTGAAACTCATGTCTGGGTAGTGGACAGAGGTTGAGAGGATTTCCCAAGGGCTGTAATTCTCTTGGCAGGGGTTAGTGTTTATATGGAGAGCATCTTTCTCTTTGCCTCTTTGAGTCTCAGCATTGGCACCTAAGATGTGTGAGAAACACAAAGTGAGGGTCTGAAAGTTTGTAGTGATGCATGATTAGGTTTTTTTCCCCCAGCATTCTGATATTAACCTCATTACTCTTTTGACTGCATTAGTTAAAGTTTTAGATTTGAGGTCCTGAATAGTTTTGTTAGCAAAATGAAACCGAGTAGAGCATTTGTCTGCTGGCTGAAATGGGAGCTGTATGATTTTTGGTTTCACATGCAAGTTAATTTGTTAGAGATGTGGACACAGCTCTGACAGGTTCTAATCCCTATAGTTCAGATGAAATATTAATGATAATCTTTATTCTCATCCACAGTTCTGTTGTGTAACAACTCTGTAATACTTCCTCATCATGTTACTGGATCAGGCTACAATACACCAGTCTTATTTGATGTGATTTGGCCATAGAATGCAAATATGCCTCAGGTGGGTGTAGTAGTTACATGAAAAAAAGTTAGGAGATGGGGAAGAAAACATGTGATTTAAAACACAGTAAAGTCAATCCTTAAGGTTTTTAATTGGCTAATTAAGACACATAACAGAAGTGCAATAAAATTGTTTTTATTATTTCAAAATACACAACAGACAATACAGATCTATTCTGAAAACATTTCTCCATACTTTTTTACTACAAGCTACTCTGTTTTACAATTTTCATTCAAAATTGTCTCATTTAGAATGGAACAATTGCTGATATGAGTAATATGCTTAGCTTTAACTGTCAACTCATTTAAAACTGAAATGAGTGAGACCCAATTTGATTTACCTATTACTTTACCACTTTCAAAGCTTCACCAGACCAAAGAAAATGTCCATGCATATTAATCTTATAAATAAAATCAAAAGAATTAATATCTTTCAGTAAAAAAAAAGCTAAAAATGAAATAAGTTAAAATATCTATTATCTTATTATGAGAGATTCAGAGTACCAGACAAATTCCCTTTAAATTAGCATGTCTGTGAGGGTCTCAATGCCAGATGGCAACTACTGCATTCTCTTCCCTCAAGGAATATTAACTTCTTCTCTGTTGTTCCTAACAGGTTCAATGTGTACTTGAAGACCTGCAGTGGTCACTACTCCACAGACCCTACACCCTTCCTTCCATCCTTCCCTCCTTCCCCAACCCCCTGAGAGGTTATTTTGGTGTCTAATTGGCTGTACCTCTCGGAAGATTTGCTAGTGACTACTCTGAATCTTTCATTAGTTGTTCTGTTCTCTTTGAACACAGAGAACTGACTGTTCCTTTTCTCGTTTAACAGTCTTCAAGTGTGTAAGAAATTACACTGATATTCCCTCCAAGGTTACCTCCCATAAGCAAAACAACCACATTTCTTTACATCTTCCTCTCCTAAGATGTTTTTTAGGCCTCTCTCCATTCTTGTTTCTCCTCTATGGATTTTCTCCAGTTTTTCCATGCGCTGAAGTTCTGTGTTCAAAGCTGGAAATAACCACTCAGCCAAGGCCCTGATCATGTTGAGCTGAGTGGTGGAGGTAGGTTGTGTCTTGTAGGCTCTGTTCCTTACATTCTCACTTTTCTGCAGTGGTGTGATACTGTTGACTCCTCCTTCACTTGTATAACCTCCAAGTCTTCAGTGCCAAAATGCTGCTGAAGCAGTTGCTTTCCATTCTGTGTCTGGGTGGGTGATTGTTGCTGATGAAGAACAGTATATTTTGATTTTCCTGATAGGGTTTCTTCCTGTACATTTCAGATAATTTTCTCAATAACGTGAGGTAATTTTCTGTTCTTATTCAGTCAGTCCTCCAGCTTAACTCCAGGCCACTCTAACTTCATATTGACCATTGCAGAGTTAGGTTGCTGCAGAACTCTATGAAATTCCTTTCTCAGAAGGAGCTACTGTGAACTGATTTCAAGGCACATTATCCCTGTTTGCACTAATGGGGTCAGGTGCCTCTAGATTCATCCCTAACTAGTTTGTGAGACTCCTGTGTTAAATAATAGTAAAGAATTCTTGTTATTACATTTTGTTGCAGAATGAGAAGAAACCCCAGTGTTTCTGGTACGTGGCAAAATTTTCGGAACTGTTTAGCCAACACAGGATATGTTTACTCGGGTGAAAATAGAGAGCTGATGATTCTTTTTTCAAGTCAGCCAGGTATGAGCTAGACTTCATGTTACTTGTGGCACTGAGGCTGACCTAAAAAACTTACTGAGAAAGTACAAGAATTCAGGTGACATTCAACATTGGAACATAGATTTTGGCTCTCCAATTTGCTGTTGTTATTTACAGACCATGATGGCTATGAAATATTTTGCAAAGAAAAAAAGTCAGGGTCTCATCTGAGAGAGCTTTTACAGTCCAATGAAAGGAAAGTTAAAGGCACAGATGTTGGTTGTAAGAAAACCAGTGCAGAAAGGCTTTATAAAACAAGTGCATTCTGAGGAGAGAGGTAGAAAGCAGGGGATAATAAAGAATTGGAACTTGGGAACTTTGTGAAAGCAATAGAATAATCTAAGTGGACGAGGCAATGGAAATACAGGAATATAAATAACAAAGTTGTGATAAAGAGGAAGAGGAGGCAAGGACAGAAGAAATCAGAAGCAGCATTCACTAGAATTATTAAAATGGTTTTAAGGCAACTGATGGGATCAGTGGGGAAGGCCTGAAGAGGAATTTAGTCAGCAGCTCTCCATTTTAGCCTTTAAAATCTTTGTTTCAATCTTGGCAATTTCTAAAGAGCCTTGCCTATTTTCCTCCACTTAAACCTGATCAGTACCTTTATTTAGGAGGGACCATTTGAAGCCAAAGTGCCATCTCAAGGACCCTTCACTGGTTGCTTCCATTCTGACTGAAGGAGCAGTAGGATGGCCCCAGTCCCCTCACAGTGCAGTCAGTGGTGTCAGTGTCACAGGTCTCACAGTGACACTCTGTGGCTACTGGGTAGGAATAGAAGGATTCAGGGTGGTCACCACAGCCAGGGATCTTCACTGTTTCATACACAACCTCCTTGAAGGTACATGTTTGCTGAACAGATGAGACTGGTGGATATTTATATACTGGATCCTGAAATGACAAGAAGGGAAATACCTGTTTTGACATTTGTTATGGGTAGAATTTCAATTATTTTTAAAATGGGAAAATCCCACTGAGCTGAAAAGCATTTGGATCTGACTCTTCTAATTTCACTTAGACCCTTAAATTTCCCCTTTCAGGAGGACTGATATGGCAAATTTGTGTCATAACATCACGAGATAATCTTTCAGGTTAATTGCTTTGTTCTTTGAATGATTTAAAAAAGTAGAGGAGTCTGTGTAGTAGTGGCTGCTTTATTGTAGCCACAAACTGAACACAGAGCAGAGCTCCAGATTGTAATACTTATAACTCCAGTTATCCAATATAAACATAATGTGTGCCACCAGTTCAATACCTGAATTTTACTAGCATTTTTTCACCCTTTGTGCTTCAGATTGGCTGTGTATCTACTTTCCTGCCAAATAGCACAGTAGATACTCAACCTGTTCTTTCACAAGGTATACCCTGCTCGTGTGTTCATTATGGACTAGAGAAATGGATTATTCAGACATCACTTGGAATATCTCATGGTGGTTCCTGAAATGCTGATTGAGAGTCTCACCCGTGTGAAGCAGAATCCTGAGCACCACGTGGCATTCACTGTAATGCAGAATTCACATTCTTCTCTTTCCACTGCTATAGTGATATTGGTGAGCTGACAGCTGTGGCAGCAAATTGCTTTCCAGCAAAATAACAGCACGTAGCAATTAACTGTCTTCATCCTGTGTGCAAAGCAAAAAATATATCTATGCTGGGGAAACGTGAAGAGTTATTTTCAACAGGAAATATTGATAGAAACAGAGAGAAATTGAGTCTTTGCATTATTCTCAAGTAGTTCTAGTGGCAAGCTTTCAGAAACAGCAGTGAGGGTAGAGGATAAAGACAATAAATAGATCTATCCTTGTGTTCATTGTTAAAGGAGTTTGATTTTCCTAAGCAACTGACATGGCATGTCAGCAGCCTTAGCAGAATTAATAGCAGAGTACCATACCACTCTCAGTGAAATATTTTAATCTAAATTTCTATATGGAGAATGTGTCCTGTCTTTAAGGAGAAAGAAAAAGAAGCAAGGGAGAGAAACAGCAAAGGAAAATGGATATTTTTCAGAAGCAATTAATTGTATAAATTTTTTGCTATTTGAAAGACAGTAATTCTAGAAGAGGCTCTCATGAAAACTCACCTGTATTCTGCTTGCTTTCCTCGTAGGGATAGCTGTAGTGAGAAGAAAGCCCTCTGCTTACCTTTTATAGTGAACAGGGTGTAATTTATACCTGGAGGATTTGCAGTGTATTAATGCAGCAGGCATTAGTTGGTGACTTGGTGAAAGAGGATTAATGTTCAGCCAGACAGTGAGATTAAGCCTTGTTAAGAGGGAAAAAAGAAAAGCCAAACACACTCAGGAAGTGATGGTGAAGGTTACTGTCACAGTGTCTCTTCAGAAGTTTCACTGGATTTGATTCCGTGGCATTTAGACATAGCTGAGCCTTCCCACAGTTTGAAAAGAGGTTGAGAAGCCTATTTTGGGAAATGTTCAGGTGTTTTTACTGTGCTCTATGACAGCCCTCAGACTGGTAGGCTTGGGGTGTAAGCTGGTCCTCTGGGGGTAGAGACATTTCTTGGCTCGTGAACATGTTCTTGGATTTTTCAGAGTATCAATTTTTATTGCTTTCCCCTATGTTAGGTCTTACCCAGTGAGTGGCATATGTACTTTTTTATTGATCTGCAGTCCATGAAAGTTGCTACTGAGTTTGGTTAAACCGTGAAAACTCCACTTTTCTTTGCCATTTAAAATGCCTCTGTGATTTTTCTAGCCCAGTATATGCAGTTCTGGTTTCCTGTCTGTCTCATGGTCACATTTGTTTTAACTTAGGTAAGGGATGTCTGTATTGTGGAAAGGGACTATAAAGATGTTATAATGAAGCTTCAGTTCTGTGTTTTTGCGCTATTGATCTCAGATCAAATATTGTCATACGACAGAGAAATGCTAATATTTTTAGCAGACAACAATGCAAACTCACCTTTAGCATATTCCCTAGTTTTCCATGATAACAAAAGAGTCTATTCCCCTGCTCACTGCCCTTTTCCTGCATTGACAAGTTAGTGATGTGTGCCTTTTCAACAGAATAATGTCAGAGAAAGAACTTTGTGGAGCTTCACATATCACTTCTGGGGAAAATGACTCACAGTAGCACTGTATTTACTCTCTTCTACCCAGAACAGCCAGTCTTGCTTTGTTATGACTGTTCCATTATGGTCAGTCTGACTTTTACAGAAATCCATCCACAAAAGAAAACTAGACAAGGACATACAGTTAAAAGCATTTTATCATGAAAAGAAGTTCTCACTGGCCTATTAGTTTCCTGCAGACGGGATACTTTCCTCTAAGTGGCTTTTACAAATGAGCCCTTTGAGTGTGTCATACCTTCCTGTGGTCCTGCAGACTGACCATCTGTTCCAGTTGCCATGCAGTCTGCAATACCTTCATTTGGTAATGAATTTTGCATCACACCAAAGTTAGAAAGTGAGCTGGAAATTTTCCCTGGGCATCTCCTGTACTAATAACTTTGAATAAGAAGACAG